CTGTTCACTCTATGTTCCCAAGATGATTTACTTTATGTCACACAGACAGCCATAACAGGGAAAATCTTTTTTTTTTTCCTACATTCTGCTTTTCAACAAAAGGTGCATGATTTATTTGGGGGTATGTTGTATGCAAGAAAATATGATACTTCCTCACTCCACTAAATTAAGATATAGATCTAGAGACATAGGTCATGTACAGGCATGAATTGCCACTCTCTTGATAGAAACAAGGAACATATAAGCATTCATTCTATTTCTTTCAGATGAAACTGACTCCCTCTGGGAGAAAGATCTTCCAGGTTGATCTTTGGAAGATCTCCCAGGTGAGAGAATTTCTCTCATTAAAATGAACACCTGTACACTTTGGCTTGATTCCTCCATCATTGGGAGGAGTCAAGCACCAGCTTCCCCTGTGCCTTCCCCAGACTGAGGGAACAATTGTTCATGTTCATAATGAACTGACTCAGAGAAAAAGTCAACTTCAGATCACATTCAATATTTTCCAGTTTGCCAGTCAGTTCCAATTACAAGGCACAGATGTTTACTACATTTTATGTAGTCATTTGATTGCTTTGTTTTTTAATCTGAATGATTTACAGCACTTACTAGGAGCATTGGCATTACTTTCAATTATAAATATTGTCTTCTCAAAATCTAATACTGTTCATGTACACTCAGCCAACTGTGCTGCTTGTGTGTATTGATATATCTCCAGTGACTTCAAAAGGCCTGAAGGTAAAACCCTAGTCTTAACACAGCTTTAGTACAGAGCCCAGGGCCCAGTGTTTCTGTAAATATCCCACCCACGACACCTTAGCTGGGATTATATTTGGTACCCATGGTGCAGGTATATCCTTTTGTCATTTCTCCACAGACCCATGACTCATTTAGTCCAGTATTCTGTCTCTTACACAACCAGGTCCCACAGAGGACAGTGCAACACATCGTGAAGAAGCCCTGTGCCTTTCAAATCAATCAGACCAATGCACAAGCTCTTGTTGTGCCCACACATCATGTAGGAAGGCCTCCAGATTTGGGGCAGATGGCAAATGCAGGTCAGCTGCAAGTTTCATATCTTAAATGTATTGAATAAAGTAATTTCATATCCCAGTCCACAATAGAGGGGGAAGAGATGGCCACTGACTTCTGTCAGCAGGCATCTCACATTGTCTATAATAATTTATAAACTGTGGAGTATGAGCTGTCACAACCCAAAGGTGTGATTTTTTGTTTTGTGTGCGCTTTGGCACCACTGAATTATGTTCCCGCTAAATTGCAGCTTCTTTGCACGGTGGAGTTTTCTGCTGCAGAGGAAAGCCCCGGTGCAAAAGAATTCCCGCCAATTTGTAGCTTTCTTTGCAGTGTGCATTTCTTCTTTGCAGCACAGAAATGCACTTTACAAAGAGTTCCTGCCATTTGTATTATAATTCGAGCCCCATTATTGGCTTGCGTGAAATTATTCACACGTGGCGGCTAGCAATTGGCTTGCTCGCCGTATAAAAGGCTTGAGTGGTTTCCGCCCAAGTTGGAGGACTCCATGAACACCAGGAGGAGGAGACTTCATGCTGTGTGAAGATCTCTAAGCGCTGCGGAGCCTATTGGACCCAGTGCATTTCAAGCAGGCAACAGGGGTCTGATCAGCCTCTAGCCTCTCCCCATCACCGAGCGCAAACCTTGACGTATCCCTCTCCCTGCGCGCACAAGTTCCATGGAGCCTAGCAAACTTCATGTGAGTCTATTACAAGTTCCACGGAGCCTAGCAAACTTCGTGTGAGTTCGAGTACTTTCTTCGGTTGGCGCGACGGGCTCGTGGTTTAGAGCCTCCAACCGGATGGGCTAGAAGAATGTTCACAGGAAGGAACTCTAGTCCGCCTCTCTTCTTTTCTATCTGTAACTGCAACTCAAGCAAGTTTTCCTGCCTGCACCGCGACCATCTTCGGTGTAAGTAAATAATCTTTAAATCAATCATTACGCATCCATGCCTAATTTCAGCGTGTCGCCTGTTCTCTCCGACCCAGCATGCCCGGGCTGCTGGCCACAGCCCGCGCGGCACGAAAAAGGGCCCGGACCGCTCCCGGCCCACACATGAGCAAATGACAATTTAATTAATATAATGTGGAGCTTGAAAATTGCTGCACTGTCTTCTTATCTCTTTGGCATGTGTCCAGTATAGATATGTATTAATGTTTAATATACAATTCCTATATTGCATACAGTTTTAATAAGCAATAAGTGTACAGATGTTGCTGCATGTTGTGCTTTTTATTCGTGCTGCATAGCATCTAAGAAACACCTGTGGTTAGAAGATCAATATTAGATGCTGACCTAACTAAACTATATAATAAGTTGCCTGCTTGGGTGTTCTGTCTTATACTTCAGAAAGAACTGAAATCATAATTGTGATGTTTATTTCTACACCATAGGATAAAAAGGACTAAAGAAACAGAAGAAAAGAACTATCAAGATCCTATAGACATGACAGAGTATCTTTGATGAGGTAAAATAAAACTCAGTCTCAGCCTCACATTTTAACACCCTTGTGCCCCAGTCAGACTCTCTGCTGCTTGGGGTTGCTCTTCCCTGGTCAAACTGCTGCAGCCCTGGGCGCACATGCAGACACTGTACCTGGGAGCAGCTGGGCTCCTGTGCAAACTGCGCTGGAGTTTATTACATTGCTTTAATGGCATGTATTGCTTTAATGGCAGTGGGCGCGTCTACACATACATATTAATGTGAAACAATAAACTCTAGTGCTGTGTCTACATGTGCTCCCAGAACCACAGCATGTTGTGGTGGGTCAGAGCAACTCTGACTGGCAGGGGACCCTGGGGTTCAGCTTGCCAGCCCAGGGCTGCTCCAACCCGGCTCAACGTTCTGTGGAGGGGCTGGCTGGGGCACAAGAGCACAAGGGCCCTTCAGTGTGGAGCTAGCTGGCAAGCAGCCCCCACATTGAAGCACCCTTATGCCCCAGCATAAGCAGCACATGTGTAGATGCTGATTGGCTGGCTAGGTCACAAGAGTGCTTCAGTGCTGGGACTGCCTGCTGACTAGCCCCATACTAGAGCACCCCTGTACCCCAGCCAGCCCTTCTGTAGCATATTGAGCCTGGTCAGAGCAGCCCTGGGCTGGCAGCCTGACCCCTGGGGCCCCCTGCCAACTGGGGCTGCTCTGACTGGGCTCTACTTGATGCCTGTAAATAAATTCTGGAGCTAATTGCTCTGGAGTTATTTGCTCCAGGGTACATGTTCAAATGGCACATCCAGGAGCAAAAAATTCCAAAACAATAAACTCCAGAGATTATTCATGTGCACTAATAGCACATGTAGACACACCCAGTATGTAGTAATGTACTGTCAGTAGCAGTACCTTAGCACAAGATCATATCTATGCCACAGTGGTGCAAGAACCTGATAAAAGGCCCACTGAACACCATCTGCTGTCCTGTTTGGGAATTGCAGAAATCCTGCCTGGTATTTCTCACAGTCCAATGTCGCTTTGTTTTGTTTTTCTGCTGCGTGTATACCCTCAGGTTATTAGGCTGGAGTTTGGTTCACATTCTGACTCCTTTGTAACACTAAAGGTCTACAAGTGTTTGGCCCTGCTTGGGGGATTACCCCGTTGAAATAGACCTCTCTGCTGCCATTTGATCTGGATGGATGGGAGGATGACAGATTAACCCTTGGCTTGCTCCAATTCATGCTGGGGCCTGGACAGATGCATAGGATCACTGGGCTGTAACTGGTTCCCAATGGTTCCATATTCTTCTCTCTATTACTATTACCACATCTCTGAATTCAGTGACCATCTGGGCCTTAATGTTTAATTTCTGATTTGAATCATCTGGTCACTTACAAATATAATAAGCACCTTCTGTTTTCTTATGCACTATTACAATTTGTACATATAGCCTAAATAGGTGGTTGCAGATAATTAGTGTTCACACTGTTGGGAAAAACCAGATGACAAAATCTCCATAGGGATCTCCTTTTGGAGATCTCACATTCTCATCTTGGAAGAGAATAAACACTGGCAGATCCCCCTGGTGCTATTCAGAATCCAGGGCCATCCACTCAGAAGCTTTTTGCTTCTGGACCATCTCTAGTCATCAGGGCTTTTCCTTCTTACTTCCTTGACAAAGGAAGGGCTTTGCCAGAGCTGGGTAATGCCCCAGTCAGCTATCCCTCAAGATCTGTTAAGGGCAACCATGAAGAACATAATGCAGTGTAGGCCTGTCTAATCATGTCAAACTAATTTCTAGGGATGTGGGATATTTGAGCAAATCTCAAAGACATGATGTAGACCTCATTTTGCAGTAATCATTTGGCATACAATTCATATATTTAGCATATATTCTCATACACTAATGGACAAAGTTTCTACATTATACATTGAGGTAACTGGATATGAAGCCCAATATTTCTGTAAGATCAAGTGTTCTAGAGCTTGGCACATGTGCCCATCTCTATACTACCTCCTAAAGGTGATTATATTGGAACATGAGGGTCTCTAGTAGGATTTGTGGAGTTTTTCATTTCATAATTGCTGTTGTTTATAAAATTTAATTTAAAATTGATGGCTAAAGTTTAGATACCATTGAAGTCAGTGGGAGTTTTACCATTAACACCAATAGGGCCAAGATACTTAAAACGTTAGCTAGGCAAACTGGAATTTAAAGAAAATGCTGTGTTGATCTCTATCACCTTTATTTAACCATGTATCTCAAATGTCCTCACGACTGATATTTACTGCTTTTGGCATTGACACTTCCCTTTTGTCTCTCCATTAGGACCTATCTCAGCATTGATGTCATAAAGTAAGCAGAATGAGTATGTGAAATTGCTTGTAAAAATTGTCAAATGTAAAGAATGGCAAATATCATGATTATTTTTTTAGGTTGGACAAAGAAACTGTCAGCAGTGATGCACTCTCGTAATGCTTACTAGAGCTGAACAGTATATATAAAGCTGTGCAACAGAGGCAGCAAACAGCTCTCAGAATCCTCAAGGCTTCCCAAAGTTCCAGAAGAAAGAGTAGCTACTCTTTCTCCAATCGCTGCGTATTTCTTCAAAGTATCCAAAGGTAAGATTCATACTAGCTTTCTAGATTTGTTCACTGGATTGAGTGCAATTGTATCCTCAAATTTATGAAGTAAGTGCAGGATCTTTTAACGCGTTGCTTTTTAATCTTTTATTATTCTTCAAGGTTTGGAAGTATATAATTGAAATTTGCATAAGTTTAGTTTAGAAGACAACTAGTTAAAGAGAGGACAATCCAGAGATAAGTCAACTTCTAAATGATGGAAAAGATGGAAATTAAACATGGAATCACAGAAGAAATGCATTGTTGTAAAAATTTAACTATTAACTATATGGACATACAAACTGAGGTTATTAACTGCCAATGTTGTTTTCTACTCCCATTCTCAAATATCATTTATTTATTATAAATTAATATTTGTAATATATTTTATTATATATGTAGTCAATGTTCTGTTCATTATATTTGTTTATTTAATACAATTTAGAGACAGTGTACCAGACTGACTTTAATCACAGATTCAACTCTTGTAGATAATTCCTAAAAGTCCTGTACAAATTACCAGATATAAAATCAATAGTGGTCTATAAAAACCTCCCATGTAAGAAAGTAATGGAGCAACTGGTATAATTCCATTGAAAACTTGTGATTTTCATTTCACTGTAAGAAGCCATATGGAAAAGTTTGATAGCATTTATATGTAAATGACATGTACATAGAAGTGGTAATAGATTAATTAATTGCCTCTCCTATCTGCAAGTCTCCTACATATAGAAATATATTCCTATTCACACTTTAATTTTCAAATGGGAAAATTTCTCACTTGTCACCACTGATATAATTCTATGAGTGTGTTTTTACCCTATGAATGAATCAGGCCTTTAGCAAGATTCAGTACAATATATCCATATTCAGCTTCCATACACAGGGCACTGCAGAAATCTGTAGTAAAATATGTTAGGAATACTAGCAAAAAGCCAGGTCACTAGGAAAAAAATATCGTTAACCAATTCTAGATGCAAAATGAATGCTGCATGAGCCAGTTCACAGCCTTAAACATTTTGATCAAGACTTAATAAATACAAATTATTGACATTTCCTCTGGCAGCTCAGAATCTCATTAAGAACATCCTGTCAGATAATTTGGTAATGTTTATGCATCTAATTTTGTCAACCTCTATTTATCTAATACATTCAAAATGGCAAGAAAAGAATGATTTGAATGGTACTTTCTAATCTTTTATCAAAGAGGAATTAGAAATTACTTTGAGTTTGGCTGGAACTCAGAAATTTGGCTGCAAGCTTTTTTGCTGTTTCCTCAGTTAATCTAAGCTTCTCAAATCAAGTCAAGAACTAGGTTTCCCATGCGCTGTGGAAACTGTTTCATTTTTTTTTAATTGTATTTAGATGAATTACATATATTGTATGGATCAGTTAACAGATCTATACAAATATTCTCACGCTGCTAATTTTTTGTTGATGTTCTTCTATTCCAGAATTAAAACAAGAACAATTTTCTAGTTAATATGAGTTTGGTTGATTTATAGAAAACAAATACCTATTGTGGTTAACAGTAATATACATTAAAGAATATACAAATAAAAATGCATCTTGCAACAGAAAATATGTAAGTGGGGAGAATGTGTATAACCTGAAGCACTTCACTGCAAAGCATTTCAGAGCTTTTCATCTCAGTTTCATCCATAGTATAATCTGGGGGGGTTCTTAGCCCTGTGCATTGTGCATTATCTGCTCACTTTTTATAGCACTTTTAAGACACTCAAAACAATACAAACATTACATCTATCCATGCACAAAAGTTTAATGGTTGTGCATTTTTCAAAAGTGCTTGTTTCTCTGAAGGGCAGTCTTTTAAATTGAAGATTCTTAATCTTTTCAAATACTTGCATATAACTTCCTTTCTTTTTATTAATCTCACCAAAAGTCCTTTTCCAATATAGTATAAGGCCCTGATTCATGTATTTCATTTTAAGCATGTGCTTATGTTTTACTGAAGTCAGTGATTCTGCTCCAATCCATAATGCTAAACCTGCATGTAATTCTCAGAAAACTCGGGTCAGTTCCAAGCCCCACTTGAATCAATGAGAACCTTTCTACTCAAGAGGTTTGGGATCAGGTCCTTCATATTTATATGTATTAACTGTTTATATAAGATCAGCTTTGCTTATTGATATTATTTAAGGCAATTTTGGTTTAGTGACCAAACTATTTCACTCATGCCAATTCTAGTGACTTTAAAGTTGACCGCTGCAGGTCAGTACAGAAATGCCCAAGCTAGCCAGCTCAATTGTTCAGTTGAGGCAATATGAAGCTCAGGGTAGGTTGCAAGGCCTGCTTGAAAGGAAGGATAGTTAACCTGTCCTGAGCTCTGTGCTGCCATAATTAGCATGCTACTAGTAGGAAAGCTACCTAGTTTAAAGCTACCTCAGTTATTTCTATCCTGCTGTCACTGTGACTAATGTAGATGTACCACAAAAACTTTGTGTTTATAGACTTCTGGATATGTCCTGATGTCTTTAAACATAAGAAATGTGAAATGAATGCATTTTTTTGGATAAACATTGGAGGTCAGTGTTGCACCACAGAAGTAGAGTTCTGAGTAGGAACATGAATAGAGAGTTAAAGGGGATATAAAAAGGAAATGAATATTTTTTTGACCAGTATATCATTTGCAACTACCCTACGAACAATAGAATGAGATGGAATAATCAGGTCATAAACTAATCATTACAGAGATTGGGAAGGAACTGCTTCTTCTGTATATCATTGAACAACAGCAACTTTGGGCCATTAGGTATTGGCAATTGCTAGAGATAGGATAACAGATTTCATGGCTCAGTGGTCTGATCCAGCGTGGAAAAAAAAATAAGGTCCTTAAGTCTGTTTTCATGGTAATGACTAAGACACCATTTAAATGAATGGCTGTTGATACTGCAATACCGCAATATGATATTGTTAACATCCCATTAAGAATTAGGCTTCACCTAGCGACAGCAGCACTAACGTCGTGTTCTGCCTGTGTATTTCTGGAGGGCCTGGAAACAATCAAGTAGTTACTACTAGGAAGAAATCTTTACCTGCTGTAAATTGTCATAGGTCTATGGAAGGCAATGAAGTTATGACAATTTACACTTGCTGAGCATCTGCCCCAAGATATTCTGAAGTCCAGTTTCATTATGTTTGGGATGTCTAAACCACATTACATCTTTGTGTTGTAAATGTGTGGGCAAACTGTGTGTAGTACTTATCTGATATCATTGTTTTATGTATAAGTTAGAGATGTGTTTCTTTGGAAATGAAAAGTTCTTTTGTGGTGGTCTAAATACTTTACACAGACATTAAGTATCAAACAAAGAAGCTTAGTTTGGAGCTTACTGGTCAGCTACCCATGAACTACCTAATGCTTAAACTTCTATAGGTTTTAATTAAGTCACTCGATATGTTGTTTCCAAGACTTCCATCCATTCTAGTATCTTTCATTTCTAGTTATATGTCATCCCATGATGCAGGGAAAAAACATGTGTCTCCATAAACAATACACATAGATCTATTCTGAAATTGGTACTTAGCCCATTGTGCCTAGGAATTGCAGCCTTGACTGGGTATGTTCCTCCTCCAATGCTCAATTGGTGTATCTCAATTAATACAATAAATAAAATCACTAAATCGTAGAATTGAATAGATTATCGATCAGTGCAGAATTAATCTCATGATGTGCAGAAGTCCTCTGCTCTGTATCCTGGCATTTAGTTTTTTTCAAGATTGTACCATTAATGTAGAGATCATGGAAGTGACAAGATGATTCAAAAGATGGAATAAAAAGGCAATGTGAGCACGGTTATAGGTATATCATCGCATCAAAGACACCAGAAATTCTGCACCATGGATTTCCATATGTAATTTTCTAAAATGTTACCTGTTGAACATAGATTTAAAATTTGCCTGCTTTATCCTAGAGACCTTTTGGAAAGTGATTGCTGATTTAGATGACAGAAAGAGTAAAGAATGGCTATAAAGAATGGAGAAAAATATATTGAGTCAGACTGAGAAGAGTGGCCAATGTGACACTACACTGCCTAATGGGAGTCTGCTTTGATTTCTTTAGTCAAGAGATGCAGAAAATTAAAAAAGAACACCAGAAAGTGACCTCAGTTTTCTTACTACAGCACATTGAAACAATGTTATAAACCCTAGTTTTTATGCAGCACAATTTATCTGTAGGTCTCAGGTGCTCAACGCCCTCATTTTACAGGTGACAAACTTGAAGATATAAGAGACTTGTCCAAGGTCATCCAACAGGTTAGTGGCCCAGAATAGATCCTAGGTCCTCTGAGTCTCAGTCCAAAGCTCTATTCATTTTATACCCATGTATATTCAGTTTCATTATATGTAAATTCAGTACAGAACTAAGAGGTTTTTCCCTTTCATGTATTGACTCTAATGTCAAGGTGATTGTGTTTCTTTCTTTCCCCTATCTGTTGTGACAGGCAATGAAAATGAAAAGTGTTTATTTTGTGGCTGGGTTGCTTTTAATGATAGTCCAAGGCAGCTGGCAAAATCCCCTTCAAGACACAGAAGAGAAATCAAGGTAAATACTTCAAACTCAACTTTTCAATCACCATCACAAATACAATAATCTAGTTTTTTATACCAGTAACTTCAGGCAAAATATTCTGTAATTTAAGAACAACTTTATTATGCCATTACATTATATTGGAACTAACAATGGAGTCAGAGAGAGGTATCTCTACTGCAAATAATAGAATACAAATTGCTTAGTATTTTGAACAGTAGTCTTTTTCTATTGTGTAAGGGGACTTCATACTTACGTTATACTTTGTCAGCCAGTAGATCATAAAATCATAGAAAAGTAGGGCTAGAAAAGACTAGAGGATGTCATCTAGTACCATACCCTTCTCAAGTCAGGATCATTCCTATCTAAACAATCCCAGACAAGTATTTGTCTAACATGTTTTTAAAAAACGTTAGGAACAACTTTCACACATAACTGTTAGGCATAATGTCTGTCACAGGTATTGACAGTACCCTCAGCCCCCTGCAATGTCCTGCCACTTCAATGACAGGAAACAGTTTGTTAAACTATGCTCAAGAGATCAAGGGAAGTGAACCACATCCCCCACTACAGACAAAGGCAAAAAGGATCCACAGACCTTTGTTAAAATCTCCGGCCTTGGGTGTAACCAACATCCAACAGCTCTGAGGAATGCAAACTTCCCTCTTCTCACTTCCACTCCCCTCTAGCTCCAGTAGTAATAGGAGAGGGGAATATTTCTTCTTGGCCCTTTGTGGTGACCAGCAGAGCCCAGAAGCATTAGAAAACCAGACAACCTCCATTTTGCACTCCTACCTGGGGACTGTAAACAACTTCACCTTGCACACCCTGACTGGGGAGCCAGAACTCCCCTTTCTATCATCCTATCCTTTCCATAACCTTATCCCAGGTCCTTTAATCTTATTTCATAACCTAGCCAGTTGTGGTCATATATCAACTGATTTTTGTTCTTATTCTGTTAGAAGGTGGGGTTATACTCTTAAAGAAGAATCAATGCACCTACTCAGTGCTTATTAATGTATTACAAACTATTCATAGATCATTCAAAGCTTCCCAGTCTGAACCACTAGATGAATCTAGACAGCTGAATGAAGTGAAGCGTCATTCACAAGGCACATTCACCAGTGATTACAGCAAGTACTTGGACACTAGACGAGCTCAGGATTTTGTGCAATGGTTAATGAGCACTAAAAGAAATGGGTAAGCATTTTGGTCATGCTGTTATTAATCATCATCTAGAAAAAGCAGCCCAAAGTCTAGTACAAGTCAGAAATCAGTTCACTGGGTTTCAGCTTCACATTACAACACACAATCTATTTTACTTTTTTGATTAATTGCATGCAAACCAGATCTTAAGGATAGTTTAAACATGCTATGAATATGTTCAAAGAGATTAACCATATGTGAAAGGTCATTGTTTGAAACAGCAGAAGTGTTTGACTGAAAACAGTCATCAGACTGTTGACTAAATCAAGCACAGTATCAGTATATTATTTGAGATGCCATCTATCAGGAGACTGTACACTTCCCTTGTGGGAAGGGAACACAAGTCTAGATCCTTAGAAGTGTTTAAACATCTTGGAGTAAATGAGAATCAATGCCTAAATATCCTTGAGGATCCAGGTGATGAAAACCTGATACTTTTTTTTTCATCTGTAGGTACTCTGATATTGCAGTCTCATTACAGAAACTATATCTAGAACTAAACTCTGTTGGATACTGGGTACCTTAGCAATGCCACATAAATACCAATACTATACAAGATATGTTTTAGTCAAGCATAAGTTATTGGACACAGTGCCAGGGTAATTCGATAAAATTATACAGCCTGTGTTATACAGATGATCAGATTAAATGTTTCTTTATGATATTACAATCTATGTTTTGCTAATTGTTTATTTTACTGTGGAGCAGTGAACCTACAAGACTGCAGCTGCATAGAACTAATAATTTTGAGAGCCTATACTAAATTAAATATCAGCACCCTAAAATTATTTATACCTACCCAATAGTCATGGATGCTTGTAGTGGCATGTAAATAATATTCAGCAGAATTCTGTCATTTTATGAATGCTGTAAGTTTCCTAATGTAATATTAATAATCTAATGACTGTGGGTTTCTGCTACAGACAACAAGGACAGGAGCAGAGAGAGAATGAAAAATATCTGGACCCGCTCTCAAGGTACTTCAAAGCACTGGACATGTTACTCATGGGAGAGTTAATCTGTTGTTTTGATTAATAAAAAACATAGTCTAATATAATTCCTTCCAACTTCATAATTATAACCAAGGTAATACAGAGTCTAGCATTGAAGAAGCCATCCTAGATCTACTTTTTAAGTCAAAGAAAAAATTATTGAGACTGTTGTTATGAAAGGAAAGTTTGGACTCATGAGTTACTTGATTTCAGAAGTGGCTTCCAGGATGCAGCAGCTCAAGAGTACTAGATTTCAGGAAAGGAAATTGTAGTGAATAAATAAATACAGAGAATAAGGTAAAAAAAAGAAAAATCCATATAGTTAGAAAAAATTGCTGATTGATACAAGGGAGGCTACAACAAGCAATGGATACAACTAAACATGCCCTGTACACATACTATGGACACTGTCAGAGACAGGATGCTGGGCTAGATGGGCCATCAGTCTGACCCAGTATGGAACTTCTTATATTCTTAAAAAGGCTAGATCCTAACAAAGATTAGAAATGATGCATCAACTGAATACAAGATACTAAGGAAAGGGCATTAATATTTGACAAGGCAGTGAGATGGGAATCTGTGTTAGGTCTATTTTTATGTAAATTTTTCATTCTAGAAGAGGAAACAGGTGTCATGGTCACTAACTGGAGGACAACAACTCCATCTTGTGCTAACTTAAAGGTTTTCGCATTTGTTTTTCTTCCACACTGAAACAAAGCACACCTTTAAATATTTTTGTAACTGAAATTGTGTCAAAAATCCTGATTTTCTGTTAAAAGTCAGGGTTTCATTCATTTGCTTTTCTCTCCATTATAAAAAATGACCAGAGAGCCCACCCCAGGTCTCAGAGACCTTCCCAATGAAAACTTTGTCAAAATCAGTATACCTCTGTGAAATATTTCAGCTTCAATGAAACAGAATATTTTGATGCAAATAACATTTTGTCAAAAATGTTCCAACCAGCCCTAGCTAGCATGCTAATAAAAAGTGCAGATGGTACCAAATTGGGAGGAATAGTGAAATCCCAAGATGACAGAATATTAATAGGAGGTCTACAAAGACTTGAAACAGGCAGAAAATAAGAGATGCAAAAAACAAATGTGAGCTAATATATCCAGAGAATAATACTCCAAAATTCCACAATGCAGTATTTCTTCAAAAAAGATCAATGTGATCGATTTTGACTGCAAATGAAAGGGCAAAACATCAAGGAAAAGGGAGGAGCCATTAAAAATGGCTGGGGGGACTGAAGGCTGAAGGCATCACGTCTCTTAAGTTTGGCTACAAATGATCAAAATGGATGGACTGGAATTACTGAGGGTGGTAAAAGATAGTGTAATTATGAGTAATAGAATAAAAATATTGATATAAAAATGATAAAAACTCTTGCTCATTAGACAGGGCTGTCCAACTTGTGAGTGGCCAGGCAGGGCAGGAAACAAGCTTCCCAGTGACATGCTCTGAGGGCTTCCTGCACCCCCAGGCCACATGCTACTCCATGCAACAGTGGGCATTCCCCCACTGCGCTGTGCCAGTACCCGCAATGCCCTGCACACTGCTACACCACATGACCCCCCTGTTGCACAGTGCCAGTGCTCCTGTACCATGTAAGGTTTCTGGGTCCCCCCAGGGTCCCTGGCCGCAGGTTCCCTCAGCCCTGTGGGCTGCACTGTGACACACCATCTCCAGAGGTGGGGTAGGATGCAGAAGCTGGAAGTGGAAGGGGGAGGAGCTAATATATCCAGAGAATAATTCTCCAAAATTCCACAATGACATTGTGGATGTCTCTACAGCCCAGAAACATCAGCTGTAGCAGCAGTGTCTAGAGTGGTGAGGAGAGGTGAGCCTGGACCCAGAGCCGAGGGGCCAACAGGCTAACCCTAGACAGCTACATGCAGCCCACAGGCTGCCAGTTGAGCAGCTCTATCATAAGACATAAGCAAGCCAAGGAAAGAATTGATAATGTGTTACTAAGATCCAGATCCCAAGAAAACTGCTCTTTTTTCAGCAATGGACTTGCCAAGCGTCATGCTGAATTTGAGAGACATGCTGAGGGCACCTACACCAGTGACATTACCTCATATTTGGAAGGTCAAGCTGCCAAGGAATTCATTGCTTGGTTAGTGAATGGACGACGAAGAAGAGAGTAAGAATCCATTCCTATCGTTAAATACTGTCTAGCTTTTTAGGTTAGAAATCAAGCCTAATAGTTCCATAATGTATTTTTTATTAGTCTCTATGTAGTTCATATTTTATTTTGTAATTTAAATTGCATCATTGGTATAAACCAGTCATTTAAAATGATTCAATCCAACTACAGATTAAAATTAAGATGTTTAAGAGTTCACCGTGCTGTTACTTTTGTAAAGGTCAAGTTATATTCCAAGGTCAATGTTTCTAAATCCAAACCAGACTTTCCTCTAAAATCTGTCCTTTTCTGCTCCCATATCCCTGTTAGCAGTACCCCTACTCCAACAGTCACTAAGAAGATCAACCTTAGTATGATCTTAGATTCCTCTCCACTCTTTCC